TGTAGAGCGCATCTTACGTTTCAGCCGTTTTCCTGGCTCACTGTAAATGAATATGTACTAGGTTGTCAACTGAGAGTGTTGTTATGTGGACGAGGGTGTTATTCTCTTGTCTATGTGTCATGGAACCTGTGAACTGTGACATGTGATCATCATGTCAGCCAATTAACATGTCAGGGTGTACAAGTCCCGGCTTCCACCTCGGAGGGGAACCTGCTTAGGGTGGGGGCATCCTGCTCACCAGCTAGGGCAGAGTCCTGCCAGCTTCCAGCACAGGGCGGGGAGGGGGGCATAATCAGTACCAAACTGGACTGCAAATAGGACCACCCAAGGGCCTATGGCTGGGAACCAAGCCTCCTTCCGGCCTTGGTCTGATCTCTTAGCAAGTTTCCTTGCTAGTCCCGGCTTTGCTCCCACTTACTGGGGAGGAATACGAAAACAGGAGTTATTTTAAGGAGCGTAAAGCAGAAAGAAGGGTTGGAAGGCCACTGGCAGATGCTGGAAGTGTCCTAAGGAAGAAGGTTCTGGTTGTTTACATCACCCAGGGCTTCAGATTTTTTAATAAATATTGATTGATGGATGGAAATCGAAGGGAAGGCCAAGGAAAGATCTATGTGGGTTCAGAGATTGAGTTAGAAACTCTCTCCTTCCAAAGCTCCCAAAAGGAAGTCGCGGTGGGAAGCAAAGTAGTGATTCAGGAAGGAAACAGGCCCGGTTCTCTGGGGCCTCGGAAGTCCCCAGGCCAGACCTGCCTGGGAGATGAGCACGGCTTCTCCTCTCCTGACATCTTTCTGCCAGATGCTGGGTCTGGAATCCTAAAGGTGCTCGGGCCTCCTGGTTACTGCAACCTGAGCGCGGAACACTTTGGTCCACCAATTTCCCCTCCCTCCATCCCTCTAGCGAGCAGGAGCAGGGCCTGGCGCAGTGACCCTGGCGCTCTGAGAAGGAGCCCCAGGCGCCTCCGAGTGCCCGAGCTGGGCGCTGGTTCTGAGGGTTGGGAAAGCCTTCTCCCACGGAGCCAGCTGGCAGCAGGAACCAGCACCTTGCACGCCTTTCACTGGGTAATGCGCTCGCTCGCTGCCTGGTCTTGAATCCATCCCTGTAAGGTTATCCTGATTTTTCTTTTTCTAAAATTACAGTCCAGAATCTCAACGAATTGATAAGGTGGAAACATTATCAAGGTGTGGGTCTGATCCACTAGTAATTATAAATAGGGGGGAAAAAAAGGAAAGAAAAAAAATTAATTCCGCGGGCTCTATACCTGGAAGATACGCTTTCTTGGGGACCCTCCCAGCTTGTCCCCTCCCCCAGCCCACTCTGCTGGTCTGACTCTGAGCTGTAAACTGGGCCGGAGCTGGAGGACTTTGGAGCTTGGTCCCTGCAGCTGAGGCCTACGGGCTGCCCTGGGCAGGAGCCGCCTTCGGGAGGGGTTAAGATCTCCAAAAGCCCTTGGCACTCTCGGGGCCTCCATAGGATTCCCCCAAAAGCCGGCCAGAACTGTGAAAGCGGGCCGCGCCACCTGCCTGGAGACACTGCCCCAACTCAGGAACCTCCCTTTCCCTGGGCACCCCGGGAGTGTGCCCCCCGGTCCCAGCTTCTGAGCTTGGAGAACGCCCTACCTCCTGCCCCCACAGTCTTCAGGCGCCACCTCCATTCCCGCAGAGGGGCCCTTGGGCCTTGCCTCCCTCACCCCTGCGCGGACGGGCGGGAGCGGCGCTGCCCAGGCTGGAGCGGCCCACACAGTCGCCGCTACTGGCGTCCAAGAGACATTTAGGAATATGCGTGAAAATTTATATGTCACACATATACATGCACGTATTCGTCGACCGAATACGTGCATGTATATGTG